TGGCGTAAATAGAACACACACACACACCCACCGACATTCTATTTTTATCAAGCGAAAAAAAGTTTTTTTTTTTTTTTTTTTTTTTTTTGGTTGTCTGCAAAATTCGGCAAAAACAACAACAAAAATTTTTCCATATTCCATTTCATTGAAATTTTCAATTCATATAAGATAATCTTGTTGGGAAGATATAGATTCTGATGAATGACTGACTGACTGACAAATGATGATGATGAAATTTATTGTGTCATTAATGTGAACAAACAAACAAAACAAAAAAAGTGTTTTTTGTGAAAAAAAAATTGTTTTTCCTGGTCAATGAAGAAAGAGTGTAAAAGATTTGTGTTTTGATTTCTGGTGTTTTTTTTTTGTTTTAATTGGTGAGCAGGTACTGTCTGTGGTGTTTGTGTTTGTGTTTGTGTGTGTGTGTGATTGCATTTGAAATTCGAAATCATCAAAATTTGTCATATTTTTTTCTGTTTTGTCATTACCATTAATCAATGTTTGTTTGTCAGGGCGTTTATAATAATGAAGTTTGCTGAAGATCAATAATAATTGATTTTTGCTTTTTGCTGAATTCATTCAAATAACGCCCGAATCGATTTTGTTTCGATTTTGATCTCCGAACGAAAAAAGAAAAAAGAAAAACATTCGAAATTCGAATTTGAATTCGGGTTCGATGTTTATGAATGACTCATCTCATCGTTCGAATTGAAACCGAAAAATTTTTGAAAAAATTTCTTCATCATCATTTCATTTGTGTCATGTCTGTCAAATTATCATTATCATCATCATCAATGTTTATAAACAACAATCATGAATATCGACAACAACAAACAACAACAACAAATTGATAGAAATTTTCTTATCATTTTTTCATCATTATTATTCAAATTAATCGATTCAATTAAATTGAATAATAAACGATTTAAAAAATTGAATAATAATTCATGTTTCAATCATCATTATTATTCGATTAATCAAATATTATTGAATCGAATAGAAAAATTGAAAAATTTTCTTCATTGGAAATTTTGGAACCATATCGTGAAAACTGTTGAAACTAATTTTTTTCTTTTGTGATAATAATTTTTGTGATGATCATTTTGAAAAATTTTTCTTTCTGATTTTTTGTGTGTTTTAATTGTGTGTTTTTTCATTTGAGCTTCATTTATTTATTTATTTTTTTTTTTGGGTTAGTAATTCAAAAATTTGGAATTTTTGTTGTTTGAATCAATTTCGTTTGCTTCCTAACTTTGGTAGCTTGGTGCTATATCTACAATCTATTTTTGTTACTTTGATAATCTTTTTTTTTCTCTTTTCAACTTTGATTTTTTTCTTTCCTTTTTTTTGACTGGTGTCAGTGTTGTTGGCATGATGATCATGATCCGTCAACTGAAATGATGACGGATCAAAGCTGAATGTTTTTCTTTCTTTTTTTTTTGATATCCCAATTTTTTATATTTATTTTTATCATCATTCTATATATATTTGTCTGTGTGTGTTTGTTTGATATGTCTATTTTTGGGCGCTATATGGATTTATTATTATTATAATTATTAATTTACAAGTTTTTACATTAAGTCATTTGGTTTTTTTGTTTTTGTTTCTGGTGTTTGGTGTTTGAAATTAATTTAGTTTAGTTTTATTTCGATTAAATTCTTATGTAATAATCGTGTGGTTGTCGCAACAACAACAACTAACAAAAAAAATGAGGGAAAGGAAGGAAAAACAAATAAAGATCATGATGTTTGATAATGATTAAAATGATGCGGCCTTGATTTTTCATTTTTCTGTCTATCTGTTTTCACCATAAGATGGCGGCACTTTGTTTATTTTTAATTTTTTTTAAAATCATTTCTAATTTTAAAAAATCAATTTTTTTTCTTTTTCTTCCTCTTTTCCTGCAAAAACAAAATCGACAACAAATCAAATGGAAAATTTTTTTCATCATTGAACCAATTGAACCTATTCACTTCCGTTATTTATGGAAATTTTCGTTCATAAAAACAACAACAAAAAAAATGAAAAATTTCCTTGAAAATTTTTCTTTTTAAAAAAATTTTCACGTTTCAGTGAGTGATTATCATCAATTTATCATTGATAGTGTAGGAGGTAGTAGTTCAAAAGCTGCTGCTGCTACCGAAACTGATACTGATACTGGTACTGGTGGTGGTGATATTCATCAGAATCAACATCATCAAACATCGACCTTTTCGACCAATCAAAAACAACAACATTCTGTTGGTGTTAGTGGTGTTGGTCAATATCAAACACCAACGCATCAACATTTGGAAAGAAATTCATCTAGAAATAAGAATTATTATCATCATCATCCAAATCGTCAACGACCTCATAAACAACAACAACAACAAGAAAATAATAATAAAATCAAAGTTGACGACGATATCGACGACGACGAATTGTTACTATCCGGAAATAGTGATGATAATTCAAATTATTTTCGATTAAATAAATTACAAAAACAACAACTATATCGACAACAACAACAACAACAAGAATTATTAAAAAGACAGGAAGAAGATGAACAATTTGATGATGATTATGATGATGAAGAATATGATGATAATAATAATGGTCATGATTTGAATGAAAGTTTTGAACCTATTAATAATGATGATGATAGGGAATTATTTCGACGACAGTTTTTAGATAGACAATCACAACAACAACAACAGAATTCATTTTTAACTGAAGAATTGTCAAAAAATCGTCAAAATAATTATCATACAATACATAATCCTGGTTTAATTTATGTAAAACAATCGGCTGATAAATTATTTCAAACAGATAAGGATTTATGGCCACCGAAAAATTTAAATCAAACATTTATTGAAGAATCTGATTCAGATAATGATTTAGATGATGATAATGATAATGATCAGAATTTAAATCATCACCATAATACAATAAATACATTGGATGGTGGACATCTTCAACAACAACAACAACAACAATCATCATCATCATTTAATAATGAACGTAGACGTCAATCAACAACACGTTTATTAACAGAAACATTAATACGTAATCATCGTGGTCGTTTAAATTCAATTAGTTCAAATACATCATTATTGAATGATAATGATGATGATGAATTATTATCTACGCGACAACCCCCACCACCATCATCAGTAACATCAAAATATCAACGAAGACGATCAGCAAGTATTGGTTATATTGAAACAAATTTAGTACCATCAGTAGTATCGGATCTTAATCGTTTACGTGAACAAATTCAAATTGAACAACAACAACAACAAAAACAACAGATAAATCAACATCGATCAATACAACGAACTAGATCGGATCGATCATCAAATTTATATCGTGATAAAATTCCTATTCAACAAAGACGACGACCATCATTTCCACAACAAATTCTTCTTAAAACTTTACCACAACAACAACAATCGATTGAATCAACATCGACAATACCACGTGTAGAATCATTTCAATTATTACAACAACAACAACTATTAGATTATAATAATAATAATCAATTTCAACAACAACAACAACAATTCGATTATCATCATTATCCACCAATAATACCATCGATTATAGAACCGGATTATTATTGTGAACCACCATCAGTAATACAGCAACAACAAATACAACAACCGAAACGCATATCATCATCACCATCAATATCATCATTGATAATAAAACAAGATAATCGACGTCGAAAATCACCAACATCATTAAGTCGATCACCATCAAAATCACCACCATCATCATCAGATTCTTTTGGTGGTCATTATCATCATCAATATCATCAAAATCAAAATAATAATTATTATCAACAATCACATTTTGATCATCATCATCATCATCAACCACAACAACAATATCAACAATATTTAACATTACCAACAAATTATCCATACAGTAGCCAACAAAGAAATCAAAAATTGAACTATAATCGACACCATCATCAACAATATTGTCCTTCAAATCATAGCCATCATTATCATCGATCATTAAATCGTGAAGATTTTATTAATAATCGTTATATGATGGCTATGATACGTAAAGAAAATGAAAATGTTGATCATGATCATGATCATCATTATTCTATGGGTGTAGATAATATTGATGATGATGATGATGATGGTGGTAGTAGTGGTGGTGATGTTAGTGATAATATCAATAATGATCATCATATTCATCATCATCATCATCATCATCATCGTCAACATTCGAATCAAGAATCGAATCGAAGAATTCAAAAAAATCCTATTGATATTGATCATATAAGTGGTAGCAGTATGTATCATAGTGATGATGGTGGTAGTAGTGCTATTTGTAGTTGTTATAATGATGAGAATCATCAGGATCAAGGAGCCATTATTAATAAAAATCGACGACGCCAATCAATTAATATTTGTAATACTACTACTTCAACTAGTGGTAGTAGCAGTAATGCAGCTAAAAATAATGATAATCGCGGTAGTAGTGGTGGTGGTAATAGTAATAATCAATGTGAATATTGTATACATGATGTTACTACTACTAGAATGATGAAAATCGGCAACAATAATGATGATGATGATGGTGATGTTCGAAATAAATGTTTTAATCATCATTTGATTATGAACAACAACGATGTTGGTAGTAATAATAAAGATGTTGATCATCAACAGCAACATATCCAATCAAAATTATCATCATCAGCCATAAATTGTGTTGAAACGAATGATGATGATGATGATGTTGATCATCATCAACAACAAAAGCAACGAAATAAAAATCCATCGTCATTTGATCATTTGATTGTTGAAAATAATTGTCGAAAAATTAATAAAAATGATGATTCAAATAATAACGAAGAAAAAGATAGAAAATTTCAGCAACAACAACAACGAAAGAATTGTGATTGTGCTATTTGTGGTGTTAATGTTGTTGTTGACAAACAAACTAAATCGATCCAAAATAATTTTAGAGACGAAAAATTTAATAATCAACAGCAACAACAACAAGAATTAATGGCATCATCAGGAATGATAGTTGTTGATAATCAACAAACACAATCTCACCACCATCATCATCATCATCATCATAATAATTGTCAAAGACATCGAACATTGACAAATAATAATAATCAACAACAACAACATTATAACAAAGCATCAAATGCAACAAAATCGACCACAAAAACAGCAACGATGATGATGATGATTAATGATGAACCATCATCATCATCAACGTTGATCAATCAACAACAACAACAAGAACGTCCATCATCAACATCATCATGTTGTTCATCATGTTCAATAAATAAATCTGTGATAAATTCAAATTCAAATATTGATCATCATCATAGTGATGATCATGTTCATCAACAACCACGAAAATCAAATTGTTCATGTTGTCAAACAACGATGAATGCTCAACAACAATCACAAATATCATCATCAATGATTGATGATGTTGATGGTGATGATGATAAAACTAGATCAACAACAACGATAATGAATGAAATGGATTGTGATTGTTTAGAATGTCAAAATATGATTATGATGGAAAAAGATTCGAATAATTTAATTGTTGTTGGTAGTGGTGATAATGATAGTGGTGAAGATCAAGGTATTGTATTTGAAGCAAATTGTCATCACAATGATAATAAAGAAAATGTAAAACTTCGTCATCGACCTGGTCGGCGTCATCATAATCATCATCATCATCATCATGGTGGTGGTGGTGATAAATCAAAATTGTCTTCCACAGAATCATCTAAATCATCATCATCAACAATATCATTAACATCATCATCATCATCATCATCAGCTGGTTCTTCATTAGAATCATTACCATCATCAAAATGTCAATCAAAAGAATTATCGCAAGATAAACAACAACGACAAGAATCATCAAATCAACAACATTCAAATACTATGACAACAAATAATCAAGAATCAAATAAATCTAATCAATCAAAATCAGAACAACAACAACAACCACAGCAACAACAACAACAATCATCAAAATCATCAAAAACAGTTTGTAGTGAAGATGTATTAGATCAATCATCGGATGGTAGATATTTAAAATTAGAAGAAATTGGTCGTGGTTCATTTAAAACTGTTTATAAAGGTTTAGATTCAGCAAGTGGTGTTGCTGTTGCATGGTGTGAATTACAGGTTAGTTGATTTTAAAAAAATTATTTTATTTGATTTTGAATTCCATTATTATTATTACATAAATTTTTATATTTATTATATGGACTTTATCATTATTAAATTTTTAATTTATAAAAAAAAGAAGAATGTTGTACGTGTGTGATTAGCACACTCACACAATCACACACACATCATAAATATTTAAATGTATCAAATTATCTTTCTATGTGATGGAATTAGACAATCCATTATTACACGCACACATGTGATGATTTTTTTAAAAGATTTAAGTGCAAATTTCTCACATAGTTACTTGAGGATGATCATAAATTTTTTTTTCTCTTGTCTATTTAATTTTCTGATGATGACATCCGGATATTTTGTGTGTGATTTGAAGGTCAATTCTTTCATCATCATTCTTTAATTCGATGATTGATTAATGATGTTTTTTGATATGGTTAATTATCATCAACAACAAGCATAACTGTATGTGGAGGATATCTCTTATTTATTTATTGATTCGATGATGATATATTGGTAAACATTTAAAACATTTTTCCATTTTTTTTCGTTTTATTTGCTAAAATATTTTTTATTATTATGAAAGTTAACTGATTTTATCGCATACATCGCAATCATCATCTGGTTTTATCCGGTATTTGGTTGTTGTTTCTGTTGTCAATATAGACATAATGATCAGGATTGTCTTTTTGGTAGTTCCAATGAAAAATGTTTACATTTTACGTTTTTTTTTCTAAATTGAATAACCAAAATTTTTTTTATTTAGTAGAGTTTCGCCATCCAATCTATTTGTAGTGAATCCTTTTTTGAAAAAAAACCTTTCTGGTTTTCATATTTATAAATATATATCGATATGGTTTGTATCGAAAATATAACAAAACAAAATTTCTGGTTAAATTTTTTTTTTTAATTTCCTTGTTGATAAATGATACTTATGTTGATGATGATGATGATGAATGGTAAATTTTTTTCATTCTCCATAACAAACAAACACACCAAACATTATATGCATGCATGATTTTTGAACCGAAATGACCTTCAACTTTTTTTGTTTTCGTTTTTTTTCACTTCTGTCATTTTCTGTATTTGACTAGCAGCAAAAGAAAAACTGAATTAAAATGTTTAATGACCTTTGTTTTTTGTTTGTTTGTTTGTTTAATATCCACCATTTGTTACTTGGTGGGTATTGGGTAGATTTTTGAATGAATGAATGAATAATGAGAGTATTTTCCTTATGGATTGTCATCATCATCATCATTATTCGCCCTATGATGATTATGACGAATTTAGTTTTTTTTGTAGTTTTTCTCGGATCCTATGATCATCAGATTTTCGTTTTGCTTCTTGATGTAAACATTCTGTTCAAATCAATCAATATGATTGATTGATTGATTGACTTTGGAAGTTCAGTTGGAAATTTATTTAGACACGCACCAAACACACATTTGTACTTGAAATGTGATTTGAACAATAATGCCAATCAGGCTATTGATCTTTTGATTATTATTTTCACATATGTTTTTTTGTGTGTTGTTTATATTTTATTAATCCAAATGTTTTTTTTTTGTTTTGTTTTAAGAAAGAAAGACTAAAAAAAAATCTAATATTCATATTAATAATAAGAATTACTTAAGAATCCATTATTCATATTAATAATAAGAATTACTTAAGAAAATTGCAATAATAATTTCTATTTTGTTTCACGTGTAAAACCAATAATTAATGTGATTGGTGATGTGTCATCCTTTTATACATTATCATCATCATCAGTAATTATAACCTGATTGAAACATTTTGTAGATTTTGATTGCTTATTTTTTGAAAATATTAAGTATTTCGTTATGTCTATGTCATTTTTATTTTATTATGTCATCAAATTTGTTGCTGGCACTTCTGGTGCTTTGTCATTCATTTTATTTCTTATTCATTTAATCTGGTGTGGAGAAAAAAAAGGAAATTTAATGATGTCAACATTTATTGATGATGATGATGTGTGCGTGCGTGCATCATTGCTTTTTTGGTTGTTTTTTTTTTTGTTTTTAAAAAAAAGAATATTTCACTTTTTCTTTGTCTGTGTCTATGTTAGAATTGATTTTTTTCGGATTTAAATCTTATGAATTTTGTCATCATGATTGCCCTATTTGTTTGTTTGTTGTTTTTCACACGAATTTCGCATTTTTTTGTGTTTTGCAAATTCAAATAGAGGGAAATTTGCCAGGCAAAAATGAAAATTATTCTTGCTCTGATTTTCAGAAATATTTTCTTGTTGTTTTGTTTTCTATTTATTCAATTACATCAGATTTATTTTTTGTTTTTGTCTATTAATAAATATCGATGATGATGAAAATGTATGCTTGCATTTTGAATTTTTAATCTAAATAAAAAAAGATGAAATGAATGTTTTTCATTTTCATTTTGCTTTTGGAAAATGAAAAAATTTCTTTTTTATTTAGATTCAAGGACATTGCACACACACATCACACATATTTAACAACAACAACGACATTTTCTCTTGTGATGTGATGGGATATTTTTTTTCATTCATTCCGCATCCAAGTTTTTTTATTTTTGCTTTACATTTTTGTTTTTTGTTTTTGTATATCTGATACTCCATAATGATATGCATGGTAGGAACAGAGTGCAAACGAAAATATACAGTGTAAACACTTGATTTTGAAGTTTTTTTTTGAAAAAAAACTTGAAAATGATTATCACTTTTAATCAATGATTTGTTTTTACAAAATGATGATAATTTCACATTGGCTTAGCGAAGAAAATATGAAAATATTTACATCAGGGTTAATAATAAAAATTGAATGGAATTTAATAGGAAAAAAATGGCATAATTTTTTTGGGGATTCTCATATGATTATGTTAACACAAAAACAAACGGAAAAAAAATCATATGACACATTCGACATGATTATCATGTTGTTATCATCTTTTTTATCATTAAATTCTTGAATGGTGGAATTTTCTTCGTTTTTTTCTGAATTGAATTGTTTTGTTTTGTTGCGTTATTCTAATCTATTTTTTCTTTTTCTTGTTTTTTTCATTATTAAAAAAAACAAAACAGCAGGAAAGATTGAATAAAAATGAACGACAACGTTTTCGTGAAGAAGTTGAAATGTTAAAAGGATTACAACATTCAAATATTGTACGTTTTTATGATTATTGGGAAGTAAATACACCGAAACGTAAATATTTAGTTTTGATTACTGAATTAATGACATCGGGTACATTAAAAACGTAAGTAAAAAATTATTTATTTATTATGATGATGATCTCATTCTATCCAAATATTCTCTATATGCATGTATGTATATGTAAATGGGGTACCATGATTTATATTTATTTATTTTGATTCACATTACATAACATCAATCAATCAATCAAAAAAAATATCAGGTTATGAGGTCGCGATCAACCAAAAACTTTTTTTTTTGATTTTGATTTCAAATTTGAAGGTTTTTTTTTAGAGTGCAAATGCAAATGAACAAAACAAAAATTCATATTTAGATTTGTTATTTGAATAGATTGAACTAACCTACGCGCGCATTTATATAAAACATAAAATAATGAAAAAAAAGGGTTCCATACAGGTCATTGAATGAAATTGGTCATTGGCCGCTCTTTTTTTTTGAGTGCATATAATAATATTTTTCTTTTGTTTGCTTGTTGTCAAGGGCCCGTATTTACCGTTGTTTTTTTTTTGTTTTGTTTGAAATTATAACAGGTAGAATAGCAAGAAAAAACCGGTTGAAAACTATTAATCATCATATATATGAATCACGTTTTTATGTGGCCAATGACCAAATAGTAGTGAATGAGTTTAACCCTTTTCTCTCTCTTTTGATAGTGTGGGCGTTTGAAGTTTGTTTGTCTAGATTTTTTTTTTGTTGTGGCTGATTTTGGTTACGCCGTCTGTCGTGATGTTTTATTGTTGTTGTCTATGTCTATGTCTAGTCTACTAAAAAAAATATGTAATATCTGTGTCTGTCAGTCAGTCAGTCAGTCACTTACAATCTTACCATAAGTCTGATCAATCAATCATTTCGGGAGAAAAATGAAAAATAATTTTCTAAAAGTAGAATTTTAGATAATCTTTGATATTCATTTGATTTCATATTGCTGGAAAAAACTTGTTTTTTGGATTTTCATTGAAAAAAATCTTTCATTTTTGGTTTTGTTTTTTTTTGTGCAGACATTATTTTTTCCCCTTTCAAACGTAAAAAAATGAGATAATAAACATTGTTATTAAAATGAATTTTTGTGAAGTTTGTCTGCTTCATCGGGATTGTCTGCTTCCTTGATTTTTCTTTCTTCTACTTGAAGAAATTCCCGTTTTTTTGCTTTGTTTCTGGCTTGATGATTATATGATAGTGTTTTGAAGTGGAAAAAATTTTTAAAAAGAGAGTGAATGGTGGGAGTAGAGAGAAATTAGACTAAAAATGGAGTCAATTTTTAATGAGAGAGAGAGAGGGGGGGACAATGAAATTGTCAATGGTATTATGACATCGGTCATCAACCCTTTTTTTCTTGCATTGTTTTTTTATAATTGAAAAAAAATTTAGTTAATGACAACTAATTTTAATTTTTTTAATTTTTTTAAAAAAATAGTTATTTACGACGTTTCAAAAAAATAAATCTTAAAGTATTAAAATCATGGTGTCGACAAATTCTTAAAGGTCTAAATTTTCTTCATTCACGTACACCACCGATAATACATCGTGATTTAAAATGTGACAACATATTTATAACCGGTACAACTGGATCGGTAAAAATTGGTGATCTTGGCCTGGCAACATTAAAAAATCGTTCATTTGCAAAATCGGTAATTGGAACGCCAGAATTTATGGCACCTGAAATGTATGATGAACATTATGATGAAAGTGTTGATGTATATGCATTTGGTATGTGTATGTTGGAAATGGCAACCGGTGAATATCCATATTCTGAATGTTCAAGTGCAGCACAAATTTATCGTAAAGTATCATCAGGTGTACCACCAAATTCATTGGCAAAAGTTGAACAATCTGAAGTTAAACAAATAATTGAAATGTGTATAAAATTGAAAAAAGAAGAACGACCAACTGTAAAAGAATTATTACAGCATGATTTTTTTCAAGAAGATACTGGGTTTAAAGTTGAATTTGTTAAACGTGATGAAGCTGTTGCTAGTTATGAATCACAAGTTGTATTAAGAATATTCATAACGGATGCAAAAAAACGTAAAGATAAATATAAACAAAATGAAGCATTACAATTTGGTTTTAATTTTGATAAAGAATCTGTTGAAGATGTTGCTAAAGCATTGGTAAGTGTTGGATTGATTTTGATTTTAAGAAATATTGATTTAATGATTAAATTCTTCTTTTTTTTTGGCAGGTGGATACTGGATTTTTGGCTGAAGAAGATGTTCGTATTGTTTGTTTATTAATTAAAAATCAGATATCATTATTATTAAAAGATCGACAACAATTATTACTTACACAACAACAACAACAAGCAAACCAGGCAAACGGTAATGATGGTCAATTAGATGATGATAGTACAATAGCAATGACTGCTGCTGAAACAAATATTCAAAATCGTTTTGAAATGATACAAAAACAACAAAAACAATATAAACATACTGAAATACCTGTAAATTTAATGGAAGAATCTGTTGCTGTTTTTGCACCCGGTAATGGTAAGTTTTATTTTTTGATTGGGAATAGACATTTTTCATGGAAAAAACCTTCAATTTTTTCACCTTCAAATCTTTGTAGAAGGATCACCAGAGAATACAGTTGTTTCTGGTCAACAATCGGCAGTTAACTCTGCTGCTAATTCTGTTGTTAATATACAGGTTAATCATCAAGATTTATTAATTAGTCAACATCAATCACAGCAACAACAACAACAACAAGCATCAACATTAACTAATCAACAACAACAACAACAAACACAATCAACAATGAATGATTCATCACCAGTAACATCAACAGCGATTTCGGAATCAAATTTTTCGACCACTAACACTAATAATAATAATAATAATGTTTCGGCTGTAAGTAGTGTTGGTGAATCACAAACAACAACATCGACATCAACTTTAAATTCCGGTCAAATTCCATCAATGGAACAATCAATAGTATCAGCTGAAAATTCATCATCATCATCATCATCAACAGGTAATTCATCTGTTGGTAGTGTTGTTGTTGCCCATTCGAATCAACAACAACAACAACAACAACAGTCATCATCATCACAACATCAAAATGAGGTAAGAATTTGTTGTTTAGTTAATCAATGTATATTCAATTTTTTCCTAACTTTTATGTGTTTTGTTTTTTTTGTTTATTTTGTCCATCTACCTTTAACGTTTGTCATTTATCATCCATCTATCTATCTATCCTGTTTCGATTTTGTCTTGTCCATTTTTTTCTCTCATAAAATCCAAAAAAAAAGCTTAAATTACCACTTACAAGTGTTGCATCATATCCTATATTACCATCATCATCATCGACAACAGCAGCAGCAGCATCATCATCAACAGTTCCAAATGGAACTACTAATCAACAACAACAACCGCAGCAAGTTTTATCGCCAACATCAATGGCACCACCAAATGGACAAACATTTGCTTCGGTTGTTGCTTCAACATCAGCATCAACATCATCAGTTCCTGGCACACCTACTACAATGAATAATAATAATAATAATAATACTGGTGTTGTTGGTGGTGGTAATTCATCCAGACCTTCATCACCAACATCAACATCAACAACAACAACAAATCAATCACAACAGCCAACAACAGCAACAGATTCTAATCATCCTATTGGATTGGTAAACTTTGTGTTTTTGTTTGATTGTTTTTGTTGTTTTTTGTATCATTTTACTTTCTTTGAATATTTTCTGTTGCATGATTTTCTGTTTTATTTATTTATTTATTTTTGGTTTCGTTTTAAAAAAAAATTATCGATTCAATCGACTAATATTTTTTGTTTGTTTTTTTTGATTCATTTTTTTAGCCGAATAATAATTCTAGCCAGAATAATACGGCACAAACAACAGCAACAACAATACCTGTATCACAACAAATGGCAAATCAACAACAATCAACAGCTGCAACTGTTGTTGGTGGTGGTCAACAAACAAAACATCAGCCATTAACATCGACATCATCATTGACAGCTACAGCCGGTTCTAAACTTCCATCAACTAAAAGTATGTTTTTAAAAAAAAACTAATAATACAATTTTTTCTGATTTTTTCATTCGATGATTGATTATGCATAGAAGATCAAGATCATATTCAATCAAATTTAGAATCAAAATTAACGGAAATATTTGCACCAACATCAGCATCATCATCATCAGCTAATCTTGTACGAACATCGGCAGAAATGCATTCACATTCAGCAGCACCAACACCTGCACCGGCAATTGTACCGCCAGTTAATAGTAATCAATTAACAAATCAATTGAATGCTCATTTAATGAATGTACCACAACAACAACAACATTCAGCAATACAGCAACAACAACAATCGCAACATCCACCTCCTCTTACCAATCAGCAACAACAATCAAATTCTTTAGGTCATTCTGATTCGGAAATATTGCGACCACCTTTAGTTGTACAACAACAACAACCGTCAATAGCTACCGCTATACCATTAAATCCGGTTAATACTAATGCTGCAATAAATTCAGCCCCACCAATAGTACCAACATCATCAAATGCATTGGAACAATCATTAGCCAATATTATTACAACAGCAACAACAACAACTGCGGCTATGATGACAAATAATACACTGCCCAATATAATACAATCTGGTCAGAATGGTAATATTATACAACAAGCTAGTAATATAACAGCTAGTCTAACATCATCATCTACATCATTATCATCATCATCAGCATCATTAATGACGAATTCTAATAATAATAATGATAATAATAATAATAATAATAATGGCCAAATTAATAATTCTATAGCTACTACTAAAAGATTTTCTAGATTTTCTGTTACTCCAGTAACTGAAACATCATTATCATCACAAACAAAAGCAATAGCACAGCCATCATCGTCGCCTCCGCCACCGTATATGCTTTCAAAATCACCGTCTTTCGATATAATGACATCTCAACAAATATCTTCAACAATAGCTAGTCATACACAACAACAACAGCAACCAATACAATCAATGGTTGTTGATTCGATTAAACAAAGTGATTCTACATCTACTATAGCAACTGTTGTTGGTGGTGGTGATAATTCATCCACATCAACATCATCATCAACAGCATCATCACCTACACCAACAGCCTGTTGTAATAAGAATGATACTACTACTGTTGCTGCTGCTAATACACAAACTGTTGCAGTTGCACCGGAAGTATCACATCGTTTATCACGTTTTATTGTTACACCTGCTGAAGTTCAATTACCACCAACAACAACTACATCAAATGTACCACTATTATCATCAACAGTTGATTCAAATTTTAAAGATTCTTGTTCACAAACTTCACCTGGTTTACTTAAGGTTTGTTTTTGATTCATTGAATTTTAAAAGTTTAATTAAAATTTTCATTTATTTTTGCTTCGATTTAGAATGAGAAAAAAGCACCAAATTTAACGGAAAATTCCATTAATGTTGATAATGTTCAACAAAAACCATTAATGAATGAAGTTAGCCATTCGGATAGCAAATGTTCATTAAGTTCTGGTTCATATGAATCAGCTAGTTCAGGATTATCGGAAAGTATTGATGCTTGTGAATGTTTACCATTGGCTAATGATGAAGAGAATAAATCGCCATTAGGCCAATCAAATGAACTACCACCATCATTGCCTGCTACAACAGCATCATCATTAACATCGGATGAAGATGATGATAATGATGATGGCCATCATTCGGATGGTTGTTGTAGCGGTACAACTGTTGGTTCAACCAATATTGGTGGTGTATCACTTGATCCAAATGTTAGTCCCGAAATGACCAATTCAACTGGTGATAGTAGCTATAATACATATCCATATGTATCACTTCGACGTTATGCATCGGCATTGGATTTATCCAAACAAAATGATGTTGTTGTTGTTGTTGATGAAAATGGTGCACCAACACATATTACGACACCATTGAAATCATCAATTATGACACCACCATCAACAACAATATCGGCCGTTCCAAATCAAAATGAAGTTTTACAACAATATTTGACCAGTATGTATTTTAACTTCTTTTTTTAACTTTTGGCTATAATTTTACAAAATTTATTTTTAGATTATCCAAATTATATTGATCCGGTGGCAAATGTAGTTGCTGAATCGATACCGATGAATAATAAAGATAAATTAATACAGCAAATTGTTCCAAAACCAACACCATTGTTGGCCGATTGTCAACAACAACAACAGCAAACATCATCGTCTTCATCATTACCGTCATCAAGACGGCCATCAACAAATTATGCACCAAGTCAATTAGCATTAGCATCACAATTGGCTAGTGGTCTTCATCAACCAACACGTGTGTTCATACGTATTCCGGTCAAAGATGTTGGTATACAAGTTGATCTTGATAATACAAAATCAAAATCAAACAATAATTTACAAGATATTGGAACCATAACTGATCATTTGGATAATGAAAATCAGAATCAACAACAATCGACAACAACATTAACATTGGCACAATTATCATCAAAAGATCAACAATTTTTATTACATCAAGCTGTACAATATGTATTGATGAGTTTACAACAGAATATGGGATTTTTAGCACCACAATTATTGGCTAATGCTCAACAACAACATCAAACAAATAAAATATCATTACAAAAAACATCATCAGCATCGATGGTACCTACATCAACTATTGATCAACAATTATTATTGGATGCTAATCTGGCTAAACAAAATCGATCAGTTTCAGTTGATAATGGTCAATTAAGTAAAAATGCTCAACAAATTTGGCAACAACTTCAACAACAACCACAATTTCTAAATACTCAATCACAAATATCGAATCCGACCATTGGATTGGAAAATTTTGTCAATTCTTGGCCAGATTCATCAACCACTTCAGCTGTGATCAATGGAACATTTGACTTTTCCGAACTAAAAGTATGATGAATTGATTGATTGATGAACATCTTTAATGATGTTAATATTCGATTATTTTCTTGTTTTTTTTTCTTAAAATAGTCATCGACAAATATCATAGAAAATCAAATCGATCCTCTTGATTCTGAATTTGATCATCTTGTCAAAAGGTAGGAAAAATATCTTCGATAGCCATAAATGAAGAAATTATTTATTTTTTTCAATTTCAGACATGAAATGGAACGAAAACAAATGCAACAACGACAACAATATGAAATTGATGTATTAAAAAATATACAACATCAACAAATTGACAATTGTGAGCCAGCCAAATCTCAACCCGTTTTGGAAGTTAGTAAGAAACCACCATCAGGTACTCAGCAGCAGCAATCTGCTATGATATCATCATTAAAAGTGACACAACCACAACAACATTCGAGTATTAATAGTCCAAATTTTGGATCAATGATGACAACAACTACAACGGTATCGAACTCTAATCCAAACATAACGACAACGAATAATAATAATAATAACCTTATGAATGATGAATTATTGATGCGGATGTTGCAAAATTTTACGATGAATTCAAATCCAACCGGATCACAGGTTTTACAACCTAATCAACCAACAGCATTTACATTGAATCAAATACGTGAAGAACAGAATAAAAAATGGATGAATCATACAACAACATCAGGAACAGCAACACCAATAACAACAAGTAATAATAATGTTATGTCATCATCATCGGCATCATCATCACCGATAAAACGTACAGTTAGTATGACCAATGCTGTTGCTTTAGCTCAATCACAGCCGCAATCGCAACCGCAACAACAAATGAATAAAACTGGAAGCAGTAATTTAACGAATCAAAGAAATACATTAATACAGAATAATCGATCATCGAATACGGTTAATGTTGTTAATAATAATAATAACAATCAATCGTCTCAACAACAACAACAACAACATTCCAATCAACAACAAACGACGATTCAACAGCCACAACAACAACAACAGCCGCAATCACAAGCTGCCAATAGCCAAGCTACAACAACATCAAATACATGATGAAATTAAATTTTATCGAATTTATAGAAAAAAAATGAAGCTTCTCATCTCATTTCAAACATTCATCATCATTATCATCATCACATTAAATTCATCATCATCTTTTGCATTATAAAAAAAATTAATGAAAAAAATGCCTGAATTAAACAAACAAACTCAATGATTATATTGATTGTGATGACAAAATGCAATCGACAAAAAAAATGAAATTTTTTCTATCATAATTATCATTTGTTTTATCATTTTATATTTAAACATAAACAAAACAAGTAAACATCATCATCATCTTACATCATTACCAATCAACAAAAAACAACAACAACAAACATAAACGAACGAACGATTTTGTCTTATTTATTCTCATTATTATTATTACTACATTATTAATTTTTAATTAATTTCATTCACACACACAGACACAAACATATATTTGTATTTTTGATCATCATTTATATCAATTTTTAATATGCATTACATTTTGTGTTTTTTTTAAATCTAAAAATGAACGAGGAGGGGATATTCAAAAAAAGAAAAAAAGAAAAGAAAAGTAGAACTTCTTTCAATTTAAAATGATTTTGAAAAAGTGGAAAAAAAACTGTCATCATTTTTTTCACTCCCTGGAGAAAAGAGAATGATGATAATTTTTTCATTTTTCTTCAATCTTTTCTTTTGTCGGTAAACACACAATAATAACGTTGAATTTGTAAATGTGAATGGAAAGAAGAATTTTTTTTGGTAGAATCAGAACATTGATGACAAATGATAACCAAAAAAAATATCACAAGAAACGACATATTATTCAGTTTTCAAAATATGATTTTAAAGAATATATGACACTTACATAAACCAACAAACACACAAAAAATTTCTTTTTTCAATTCTTTTTATGTCATCTGTGATCTGTAAGTCGATTCTAAGATTGTCGTTTTAAAAAACACAAAATAAACAAAATTTTCTAAATAAAAACACCTAAAGGAAAATATAATTTTCTTTCATTTTGTCTCTTTCTCTTCATTCATTTGTGCTCTAATTATATTCACACACACACCACACATATATTCCGCTAATTTGTAACTGTTTCTATAAATTTTTGTTTCAAACGAAAAAGTAATGTTTGTTTGGTTGATTCGAATGATGGATGATGGATGAACAACATGACCATTGATTGATTGATTAAGATTTCTTCTTTTTTGTGAATCATTGAAATAAAGAAAATTTTGAAAATTTTTTATTTTTCTACAAACTTTTCGTTTTCGATCTTTTGCATCTCTTATCCACATTAATTAATTCAAAAAGGTTTAATATGATACGGCGTGTGTTTGGAAAAAAAACACAGCCACCTTAAATCATTCATTCGTTTATTTATTTATTTTTTTTTCAATATTTAATTTGTTTTAAAATATACAATTTTTTTATCATTTCAAATATGATTGATTTTTTTTTGTTTTGAATTTTGTTAAATTTTAATGGAAAAAAAATTTGTTAGCCATTTTTATCGAAAAAAAAGAAAAAGAAAAGAAAGAGAAAAAAAATTGAATAATTTCTTTGAATCACATCACAGGAATTAGAGGAAAGCATTTTGTTTGTTTTGTTTGAAATTATTTCGATCATCATTTTGTTTTGTTTTTTGCTAGAAAATTTTAGAAACAGAAAAAAAATGTTGTCAACAACTAAACTTTTGTGTTTGAGAAAGCCAAGAAGAAGAAAAAAACAGAATTTTTTCAACAACAAAAAAAAACAACTGAAAAATATTAGAACAAAAAAAAAACAAACAGATTTTTTTTGATGGCTCGAGATTTGCTATTTTAGATTTATAAAATGATAACAACGATGAATGATGATGATATGTGATATATTTACATAAAACATTGATTGATTGATGATTAGGGTCAAAAATAGAATTTGCCGAACAATAATTTTTACTGATTTTAGTTTTGTTCAAATTCTTCCTTTTTTTTCTTCATAAGATGATTATGAATTCTGAATAAAAAAATATATATCAAAATCAACGTGTTTTCCCACGACATATATTATTTTGATGCTTGTTTTTGTTTCTGGTGGGCGGCAAATACCAATTTGAAATCTGATCTGATATAATTCACATTTTGATATAATATATTATAGGGTATTTATGAATTTTGTTTTGTTTTGTTCAAATATCATCATTCGATAATTGTTTTGATCATGAGATCATGTTGGAAATTAGAAAAAAAAACATAAAGGTTCATAACAACAACAACAACAACAATATCCGATTTTCAATTTGAGTCAATCATCATCATCATCATCATTTGTTCGATGTATTCGATGAGGATTTGGACGATTTTGATGATGATGATGATGATGATGATGGTGGTGGTGGTATTGTGGTGGCGGAGGCGGCGGCTGTAGCAGTGACGTTAGTCTGTTCCGACCAACGCCTGATCGATGGATTCATTTTATTAAGATAATCATTTGTTAATGATGTTTTCTTTGAAATGGATGATGAATCAAAACTATGATGACTAGATGTTGTTGTAATATCTAATCCACCACCACCACCACCACCAAGTAGATCATTACGTTTATTTTTAAATGATTTTTTAAATCCATCAATTATCGAACGTTTTTTCTCTTTAAATGAATTGGTGGGATGTTGTTGTTTCGGTATAATCGCTGTTGATGATGATGATTGTGATGATGATGATGGTAGGGTTGATGACGATATTGAATCACCATTCTGATTCATCATCATTAATTTATCAATATTTGATGAACCATTATGTTGCTGATTATTATTATGTATACGTGGTATATGATGATGATGTTTTTCATTTTTAATTTTTGTATTTGATGTAATCCTTACGGATTTAGATGTTTGCGTTGTACCAAGTGTTGTTGTTGTTGTTGATGATGATTTTCCATCTGTCAATGTAGTAGTTGTTACTGTTTTTGATGTTGTTGTTGTTGTTGCTGTCGTTGTTGATGATGATGATTTTGATTTATCTCGATTGGCAGCAATATAAGCTGGTGGATGTGATAATGTTTTTCTCAATGATGGATTCCATAATGAACATAATTCCGGTGCCGAACTACCAAAAATAAACAAAACAAAACAAAAATGAATTAGAATGTAAACAAACAAACAAAAAATGTAAACATTAAAAATCAACGGAGAAAGAAAGAAAGAAATGGGTGATAGATTGGTGGAAATAAGGGTAAAATAGTAAAAACATGTCAATATTGAAAAAAAAAGAAAATCAATCAAAAAAAATAAAAAGGAAAAAATTACCATAAATAAAATGAATGAATTTCATATGGAATCATTATTGAATGAATTGAATGTAAATAATTATTTTCAACGGAATGGATGAACAGGAAAAATAAATAAATCAAAAAAAAAAAACGGAAAAGCAAATCAAATGACACACACACTTATATATTGGACAAATGGGAGAAAAAAAACTTTTGGATGTTATGATCGGTTTTCTTTCCGGTGATGTTTCTTTGGGATGAAAGTTTCTTTGGTAGTATCTTTTTTTATCCACGAATCAGTAACCATTTTTTTTTGTATTTTCTTAGAGGTTTTTTTTCAAGTGGTGGTGGTGATCGGTATTTTCTTTTCATAATAAATTTTTCATAATAAAAAAATCGGGAATAAACAAAAATCATTCAAATCAAAGGATCAAACAAACAAACAAACAGAAAAAAAACATTCTTTCAGGTTTGTTTTCTGGTTATCATTCATACATTTCATGGTTTCATTTCATTGTTTTGGACAAGGCATATCTGGAATATTTTGATTTTTTTTTCTGATTTGATTTTACTCTGAAATTTGCTCACATTTCTTTTGTTAGCTCTTTTTGATATGCAATTGGTGATTGTAGTGCACGTAAAAAATCTTGCTGTGTATCAAGTATTGCACGTATATTAGAAACCCATTCATTTGAAGCATCTTTTGTTTGTCCTTCACATAAAAATGCTAAACCATCTTGTTGTGGATCTTTTGATTTCAATATAAATTGTTTTGGATCAAGTGATAATGATTTATCTGGTATTAATGACATTTTGTTCACTTGTAGATGATTTTTATATAAATAATTTGGATTTGAAAATTGTGTTTTTTGGCCAACTTGTTCACTGAATATAATTATTTGTTCGAATAAAAATACTTGTCGTTCTTTGAGCTTTATTGTTTGAAAATTCATATTTGTTCCATAATGAAAAACAATATCGGCAACTGATAGTTGTCCTTGTTGTAGCAATTTTCCTTGAGCAGATATTTTTCCATCAAAATTTTGTAATCTTGATACCATCATCATATCATTAGCTGTTTTCGGTACAACAATCATTATTTGTACAACTTTTTTCAAATCATCAATCTCTTCACCAACAATACCGGATTTTTCTGTACAACGTAATACATCTTTCAATAATAATTGATATTTCATTATACGTTGTACTGGTTTGATTAATAAATCACTTAAATGTAATTTATGACCAAGTTTTAATCGTATATCCTATTGGATTAAAAAACAACAACATTTTTTTAGAGAAAAAATCATTTGGAAAATTTTCATTTCATGGCAAAAAGAAAAAACAAACCTCAAAAAATTCAAAATAATCAGAAACAACAGCTTCGGATAATGGTTTATTCTGGCAATAAACAACATACATATTTAAACGTCGTTCATATTTTCGAAATATTTTTCCTAATCTAGCTGGTTCTTCAATACAACGATCCAATTCGGGTAAAAAATAACTATTTAAAAAAATCAAATCAAATCAATCAAATCAAATTAACCACCTATTGAAATCACATCAATACTTACTCTTTATGCCATTCATGTATATTTTCAATATTACCAAAAACAATTTTATATTTACCACCTTTTAAATCATCTGGTATTTGTATATTATCAATCGAACAAATATCATCTGTATTATTACGAAATAATCGAATATAATCATCAACAATCATTCCTAAATGTTGTACATAATCTCTTTCAGTTTCAATCAATTCTAACATTACAAATTTTCTTTTTTCTAATGCACGTTCTTTTTCTTTTGATTCATCATCAGCATCATTATCATTATAATCATCTAAATTATTAATATTTTGTTCATTGATTGTTTCATTTTCATTATCACCAACAACAGTAGCATTATCACGACCAGAATATTCTTTCTGTTGTTGTTGTTGTTGACTATCATCGTCGCCTTCAAGGCTAATCCTATTCACCATTTGTTCAATCTAAACAAAAAGAAAAGTGAAAAAACAAGAAATTAATTGATTCTATCCAAAAAGATAATCTCAAAATTACATTTGATTCTTGTTGCTGTTCATCGATCATTATTTCTTTCGATGAATCTTGTGATATTTTTGTTGTTGTTGTTGATGATGATGACATGATTGTTTGATAATTATGTTCCTGTATAACAGCCATTGGTGGTGGTATTTCAATTTCGGTTAAATCACAATCTTCTTCACCTGTACCAACACTATTACCACTATCATTAATAGTTGATGATGATGATTTGATTGTTGTTGAAACATTATTCACATGATTACTATTATTTGTTGTTGTTGTTTTATTATTATTATTATTAACAACAATCATTGTTGTCGATATATTTGGATCGATTACAATTGTTGATTCATCAATTAATTGATTTTGATTTAATAATGTTGCCGATGATGATGATGATGAATTTGATGCTGTGGATGATGATGATGAATGATTTGATGAAATCTATATTTCAAAACAGAATAAAACAGAATTTGAGTTACTTTATCGATTCTGGAAATGTTTTTATCCTTCTGCTTCATCATTACCTGTTTATTATTTGTTGAGGAATGATTCTGTTGTTGCTGCTGTTGTTGTGATGATAATGGTGGTGGTGGTGGCTGTGATGTAATTATCATTACATTATTCATATTCGATGATGATGATGATGATAATTTTGTCATTATTGTTGATGATTTATCTATTTGTTGTTGTTGTTGTTGTTTATTACTGCCATGACTTAATTTTCTAACTGGATTCGTTATCCATTTTAATACACCACGTTTTTTATTTGGATTTTGATTTCCACCACCACCACTAGCGCCACTACCACCACCGATATTTGATTCATTGGCCATTGTTGTTGCTGATGAATGATTCATTTGTTGTTGATGATTATCATTGAAAAATGATTGAGAAGAATCGGCTACAAAATGGAAAAACAACAAAACAAATGAAAAAACCATTAAAAATTCTGGATTCAAATTTCAAAACAGATAAAAATCACAAGAAACAAAACAAAACAAAAATATCAATTTTTTCCCCGTCATACAAACAACATTATTTTGATCATTCAACAAAAAAATATCCGATATTTTCGAAATAGATGATAATTGTAATGTTTGTTTTTTTAAATTATCATTATTATCATTATTATTCGAACAACGACAACAACAACGAAACATTAGAGTTGGCTGATGGTTAAGATTTCTTTTTTGGTTTTTTCGAAAATAGAAATTTTTTTAAACCCAGAACTTCTCTCCCTCCCAATCTCACTCTCTTGTTTTTTGATTTTTGTCAAACAAACACACGCACAGCAGAGAATCAACACAAATTAATCAAATGACGTTGACGATGATTCTTTTTTCTGTTTAGAATTATTAAACACGAAAGCAGAAAGCGAAAAATGTCTCAAAAAAGAAAAGAAAAAAGCATTGATGTAATTCGAGTAAAACTGAACTGATGTTCATTTATGCTGAACGTTGACGACAACCAACCACAAACAGCAACTAAAAAGATTTATTTTCAAGTTTTTTTATTCATCACTTGTTCTTGATGTCAAATTGTTTCACAAACCAACCACAAAAAAACACTGATGATGATTATTCAGTTAATGTTCTCATTTTTCAATCAAAAACAAAAAACAAACAAAAATTATTTAAACTTTTTCAAAAAAATTTTTTTTAAAGCCAGATATCCAAATTGCTGTTTGTTGCTGGTTGCATTATAATCGCAAATGACAGATTGGTTGGTTGGTATGGTATGGTATGGCATGAATGTCATCATTTTCGATTGGTCGATGATAATCACCAATGATGATTACACAGCTCAGGAAATATGGTGCTCAAAAAATTTCTCTCTTTGTTAATGATTTTTCTGGGTTAATAAGATTAATCACACGACGACGACGACGACGACAATGGGAAATATAATCACAAATAATCCTTGGATTTGAAAAAAGAAAAAAATCCAATGGATGGTAGGCAAAAAAAAGGCACTTGAAAAAGAATTAACAACAACAACAAGATTTACAGGAGAAAAGAAGGTGCAATCGAAAAAAATCAAATGTAAAACTTTGATTAAATTAAATTAACAAAGCCAAAATGTGTCAATCAAATTTGTACATTTGACAATTATCGATAATTTTGATCGATTGTGGTGTGTCGTGGAAGAAATTTCCAAAAACCACACAAAAAAAAAATCAAATGTCAATAGTAATTATCGTCAATTTGGATTTTCGTATGTTTTTTTTCCGAGCGAAAAAAAATTTATTGATTTTGATGGACCGAAGAAAATCATTATTAAATTAAATTAAACTCAATTGGGTAAATTGATTCAATCATGGAACGATTATGGAGAAAAACACAGCAAAAAAAATCACTTAAATTTGATTTTGGATTGAATTTTTGGATCCGAAAACCCGAATGAACAAAGTGGACAACTATGAAACTCTGTAAACAAGCAAAGAGAAGAGAAGAATTTTCTATTTTGGCACACCGACACCGACAATTGACTTTGTCATTTTTCCGAAAAAAAGTTTCGGTTTTCATTCAATTTAAACACAAACACACATATCATATATACCACCACAACCAGTTACCGACGACAAAAAAAGAAAAAAGACTCACCACCATCATCATCAAATGATGATTAGGATGAAAATAGAAATTTTTGGAAAAATTAAGAAAAACCATAAAAGACGCAAGACTTTCGTTTTCGTTTTTTTTTCTTTTTTCTTGAGTCCAGAGAAATAATATTAGCCAAAACAACAAACAAACAAACAAACAAAAATAAAAAAATTCTTATTCTTGAATAATGGAGGGAGAGATGGGGAAGAGTGGTGGGGGTGGACAAAAAAAAAAGAACATCAATAATGCTCACACACTACCCCTACCACCACCACCATCATCATCATCATCATCATGATTATTCAATGGCAAACAGAATCCAGAATCCAGAGATTCTGGTTCTCATACACACACACATCATACATACTGCTACCATTATACCAATTTTTCACAACAACCATTATTATGATTCAATTGGAACAAGTTTCTCAACAGAAAATAATAATAATAATAATAAGTTGAAATTCAATTCCAGAGAATCGAGAGAGAAAAAGAGAAAAATAAACGACCCGAATTGAATTATTCTGCGAAAAATTCTGTCGTTATTTTTTTTTTCTTGTATATATATCAACCAACCAACCAACCAACCTAACCTATAGAATTATAGACCAATTTGGTTATCACACATAGATTCTATACACACATACACACACATTCTCTATATAAAAACTGTTTTGTTGTTGTTGTCGTTGTGTGGTGGTGGTGGTGGGAAGGGGGAGAAATGAAAAAATCGTCATCATTAAAATAAAGGGAAAGAAACAAACAAACCAAAATTATTATTATCCACATTTTATCAAGATTTATTCAAGTAGAAAAAAAATGATTCCTCACTATTAAATAGTTTCACTTAATAATCATCTTAGCAAAGAAAAACAAGAAAAACAATTATAAAAAAGAAATTATATTTAGAAGAAGAAGAAGAAAAAAAATCAAGAATCCAGAATCCATCATCATCATTCAAATACAGAATCTGACATTCTGTTAAATGAATATAACCTTTCTTTTGAGATTGTGGAATGGATATTTGTTTTTGCATTTCGTTTATCTTTCGAACGAAAAAAAAACAAAACCAAAAATCAACGATGCTTAAACATTTGTTTTTTGTTTTGTTGTTTTTCTTTGATTTCTGTCATTATCATTCCATTCCAAACAAATGACAAATGAAAATAAATGATGTTTTTCTAAACAAAAACATCCTTGTAACAAGAAAATAAAATATTTTCAAACAGCCAAACAAATACTTTTTTCAATCGATTGTGTTTTTGGGTATTTCGATATACACAAACAAAACAAAAATGTCAATGTCGAGGATGCCATTGAATGATGGTAATCATATCATCAAAACATTGTTGTTGTTGATTGTAAACGAAAAAATTTAAATACCGAAAAAAAACTTCTCAACAATAAATAGATCAATGATAACCCCCTCCCATCCTCAAAAAAAATAACAATATTTACCTTCAATAGCCGTTGTTGTTATTGGTGATGATTCGTTTGATGATATTGATTGAGAAACCAATGTTGTTGTTGATATAATCGTTGGACGTTGTTGTTGTTGTTGTTGTGATTGATGATTATTTATCATTGTCGTCATCGATGTTGTCGATGATAATATTGATTGTTGTTGATGTTTTTGTAATGGAAATCGTAATATATTGTATGGTACAAGACCTTGTTGTTGTTGAAATTCTTCAAATTGTTGTTGCTGTCGTTGATCATTGAATTCGTTATTTTGAATAATTTTTACAAGACAAAAATCACCAAATATCGATGATGATTGATGTTTGATCGGTTGTTGTTGTTGTTCAATAATTTCAACTTTTTGTCCAATTTTTACAGATAAAAATGGCCATTGTTGTGGATAATCATATAATGATGATGATGATAATAATGTTGATATTTTTTCCTCATTAAAATCTTCTTTTATCCATGCATAATCAATGATTATCTGGTAAAAAATTAAAAAAAATCAATCAATCAAATCAGTTAATCAAATCAAATAATAAACCAATCATGCGGTTTTCTTCAAAATCCAAAAATGAAGAAGAAAAAATGCAATGCAGTGCAGTTGCCTTTTTCCTTCAAACACACATCGAACAAACATAAACAACAAGAAAATATCGTTCAGGAAATAAGATTGAAAAAGGATCATCAAAAATCATTCATTTTTCCACCAAAACATAAATAACAATACCTTGACAGCAACGATGATGATGATGAAAAATTTTTTAAATCATCAGCATAAACCATCATCATCATTCAAAACATCAAAAATAAATCAAATTTTCAATGATAAACAATTGAAAATTCTGTTTTTAAAAAAAAACCTAAAAAAACACACACACAAACACACTATCTTGGTCGATTATTCTGGTTTATTAACCAAATCGAGTCAAGAGAAAAAAAAACTATCCACCAACCAACCACCATCATCATCATCATCAGAGATAATGAAAAACAGTAGCCAAATTGCGTGTGATATGGCCGAAAAAAATTTTTTTGCTACTACTATACCGCTGCTACTGAATTTGATATGTTTCAAATGTTAATGTTTGAATTGTTGTTATTGTCATTTTATACACACAAACACCAATATGTATCCAAATTCCAAAACAACAACAACAGCAGCAGAAAAAAAAAACATCAAAAAACATCATCATCATGATGATGATGATGATGGATACTTTTTTTTTCACTAAACACGACAATGCTAGCAGAAAGAGGATTCTTTGAAGACAAAAAAAACGGATTCGGCGCCAAACTGATAACTGATGATGTTGATGACTATATTCACCCAAATCATTTCATTTTTTCAAATGAAAATGAAAATATGCATATAGAATGATGATGAAAAAGAAAAAAAAATTGTGAATAAAGATAAGAATCCATACACACACAGAGGGTGTATATAGGTGTTTGTTTTTTCAACTGGGCAAACAAACAAAAAAATAAAAAAAATTCCTGTGAAAATCTAGCAGCATTGAAAAAAATTTTTGAAACTTTTTCGTTGGTTCATCATTCGTATACTCACTTCTCATACATACGTCATTAGCAAAAAGAAAATATTTTTTTTTTCTTTTCTTGTTTTGTTTTGCATATCTTATATCTTTTATCTTTCATTTTTTTTTTGTTTTCCTAAGAAATCAATAGAATTACTATGGGAAAGAATTTTCAAACAAACAAAACAAAAAAAAATATTTCGTTTGTTTGGCAAAGGAAAGATATGAATTTACCATGCTACAGGCATATTCATTCTTTGGAACTTCTACGGTATGGAAAAATAAAGAAGAAAAGAAAGAAAGAAAATTCAATAAAGAATATTCTGTGTGTGTAAATGTTTTTCTCGCTATTCGTTTGTTTGTTTGTTTGTTTGTTATTATCATTTCCTAGACATGTGTTGTGTTGTTATCATGTATTTATTTGTATTTTATGCACCATATAACAAACAAACACAGAGAAAGAGAAATTATTTGGAATTCTCGCAAACAAATTATATGTAAAACACACAATAACAATGGAATCAGATAAACAAAATGAAACAAAATTTCGATTAATAAAACAAGAAAATGATAATTAAAAGCAAAGAATTTCATAATAGGAAATGAAAATCTATCACTGTATTTATGAAAGTTACAAGGAACATACCTTTTCATTTGTACAACTACTACCGACACTGCTTGTATCAGTTTTATAACCCGAAGAATTTGTTGTTGTTGTTGTTGTTGTTGATATTAATGATGTATTTTCATCGGTCATCATTGATAATGATGATGATGATGATGTTGGTGGCATTGGTGGTAAATGTTTTTGCTGTTGTTGATCACCCATCATACATTCATCACTAAAATCACTGTGGGAAAAAGAATCAAAAATCAAAAATCAAAAACCAAAAATCAAAAAAAAAACTTACCGGCTTGATCGATTATTCGATGCTGTCGAGGAATTCAATAATTTTTGTTGATTCGATTTGGATTTTAAAAATGTTGAATATAAAAATGTATCCGTTTTCAATTGATTCAATTTTCTAATCCAATTTTGTTTCATTTCTAATGTTGATGTTTTTAATGTTATTTTATAATCAGACATTGATGATAATTTCCCAGTCCAAAGGGAAAATTTCAATTCAGAATCATCTAAATTTTCATTAATATTTATTTCATGTGTCATTAATTTATTTTTATATTGATATCTTGATTTACCACCAGAATCACGAATTTCTTTTGAAAATATTAATAATTTTTCAAATAAAAATATTCTTCTTTCACGTCCTTTTTTAAACAAAGATTTTGAATCAAAAACAGTCATTAAATCTTGAAGGATGACTTCACCCAATTGATCCGGTGTTATATCATAACCTTCAAGCATTGAAAAATGCATAGCATCATTTGCTTTTTTCGGTACATTCAACATAACATCTAAACCATCTTTTAGTTCACCTTCTTGATCCAAATCCGTACAGCTTAATAAATCTTTCAATAATAATTGATATTTTGTTATACGTTGTACTGGTTTAATTAGATAAGCATCGATTGGATGTAAAATTGAATAACGTTGTTTAATATCATCAAAAAATCCACCTTGATATTGAACCAATAGCAAATTTGAATCCGGCTTATTTTTACAATATTCAACATAAATATCAAATGATGATGACCATGTTACAAAACAATGACCAATATCTTCCGGTATTTGTTCATATTTTTCTAATTCTCTTAAAAATATTTGCTTATGAAATTTATAAATTTGTTCAATATTACCAAATAAATGTCTTTCTTTTCCTTGTAAAAATTGTGGTAAATTTTGATGTAAATTAGCTAAACGAAATTCTTTTAAATAAGTATCAATACAAAGTTTCAGATCTTCAACATAAGAACGTTCAGTACGTAATAATTCTTCCATTATATAATCTTTTTTTTGTATTGATTTTCGTACACTAACACTTGCGTCATTTGATTGACCAATATGATTATTATCTTTGACTAGATTTGTTGTCGATGTCGATGAGGACGAGGATGAAGACGCTGCGGCAGCAGCAGCAGCAGCAGCTGATTCAATATTAAACAATTTACGTTTTTCATTCAATCGATATTGAAATTGATCCAATTGTTTATAAAAATCTTTATATGATTGTTCAACAAATTGTACCCATTTTTTTATCGCCAATTCATGTGTATGACGTTTTTGTATTAGGTTTTGTGATAATTGTGATAATAATGATACTTTTTCACGACATTCCAATAGATAATGTTGAAAATTATTAAATTCTAAACAAATTTGTTCAAATTTTTCTTGATTCAATTCATCATTATTATTATCGATTATTGATTGTTTTGATTGTATAAATATTAAACCATTTTCATTTATCCATTTCAATGCTTGTTTTGAACTATGTTCAACTAAAATATATTGTTTACAATGATCCAAACGTTTCTTTTTCTCTGCCCAATATTCTAAAACACGATTTTCTTGTATTAATAAATCATCCATTATTGTTTTAATACGATTTTCAGCATTCGTATATGTTTGATTTGAATGATGATTATTATTCATTGATGTTGATAATGAATAATATTGTATACAACGTTGTATATATTTAAGAAAATTTTCAGCATTTCTTCTTGCATGTGTACATGCTTTTAAAAATGCTTCTTTTTGTTCATGATGTTTACCAATCTGACAGGTTAATAGATATTCATCATTATTATCTTGATTTTTTTGTATTAAATCCATTGTTATAATTGTTAAACGATTTGCACCACAAAAATCTTCATCATGTTTATATTCATTTTGTAAACTATTCACTACGGAACAAACTTGTTCAATTGTTTTGAAAAAATTTATTGATGCCAGCACTAATTTATGACGATCTTCAGCATGTGTCATTAAATTTTGCCATCTTTTTGATAATTCATTTGATATTTGTTCGATTGTTTGTGAATTATAATGACCATTATTGATTAATGAATCTGCTTTTTGATGTAAATAAATTGCACGACAATGTGTTTTTTCAATTGCATCCTGAAATTGTTCATGATCTGATCGTAATTGTTCTGCTGTTTTTAATGATGTTGGTATATAAAATGAACTTTTCAACATTGAATCACCATTCCTTATCCAATTGAATATTTGTTCAGCATTTAATTGAAAATGACCAAATTGTATTATTTGTTCTAATTGTTTTCTTCTTACATCATATATATCTTCAAGATCAATAATTTTTTCTTGTAAAAATGTTGTTATTTTTTTTACTAAATCATGTCCAGTTTGTTCATTACCATTATTATTATTACCTTTATTAACAATCAAACGAAATGAACATGAATCCAAAAGTTGATCCAATTCTTGTCCATAATGAATTGATTCAAATATTATTGATTGTAATTGGGTAAATTTTTCATTTAAACCAGTTAATTTTGATTCTAATTGTTGTAGATCACCAATTGTTGTTGTTGTCGTCGCAGATGATAATTGTTGTTGTTGTTGTTGTTTAGATTCATCAATATAAATTGAACTTTGTATATTTTCAATCCAAATATCCAATTGTGATGTAATATTCATTGATTCGGATTCAAACAGACGTATTTTTAAACAAATTTCATGTTTATATTGTTGATTATTCCATAAATCTTCAAATTCTTGTATTAAATTTCTCAATTTATCACATGATAATTGTATTGTTTGTATTGATGATGATAATGAATGAAATGATTCTTCAGAATAATCATAATTTTCCTGATGAAATGATGAATAATTTTTTAATTCATTCAATAATAATTGTCCTTTACCAATTGCATTCGTTATTAATGTATGAACAGATTTTCGTTGCATTAAAAAATTATTTATAATTTTTTCAATTAAATCTTTATTTTCAGGCATATCTAATGGTGTACCATTTACTTGATTTCTTAGCTCTGAAACATAATTATTAATATCTTTTTCCAATGTATAAAAGGAAACAGCTAAATTTAATATTGTACGACGATTTTCAACACGTTTTGCAAATGTTGATATATTTGATTGTAATTGTCGTGCAACTTCCGATATTTCATCAGCATTACATTCACCAGTTCGTGCTAATTCTTCAGCTGCTGCTAATAATTTTTCAGCATTTGTATAAGTATTTTGTGCAACAGTTTCAAAATGATTATGACTTTTTTGTAGAATTTTTGCTTTTGAATAATTTTTACCAATACCAGGATTTTTATTCAGAAATCCATTACCATGTTGATTAATCCAATCCAATACTTGTCGTACATCATCCTGAAACAATGCTAATGCTAATCGTTGATGTAATTTTATTTTACGATAATGCCACATTGAATCAATATTTTGTTGATTAATTAATAATGTTTGTAATAATGACATAATATTTGTCATACTATCATTATAATCACGATAAAATTGATGTAAAAATGTATCTTTTTGTTGATGATTATGATGATGACTAGCCTGTATATCACCCGAATATTTTTTATATAAATGTTCTAGCTGTGTAATTAATTTCTTACTACTTGAATGACATTCATTATAAAGATAGAGAATTTTTTCATAAAATGATTGCATTTTTTTCACTAATGTTTCCAATTCATTTACTTGTTGTTGTTGTTGTTGATATAATACATTTGTTGTTGTTGTCGATGATGATGGCTGTGTTGTCAATGATGAAGATTGAGATGATGATGGTGACGAAGATGATGATGATGAATGATGATGAAAAAGATTTTGATGATTATCACAAAATGTTGAAAAATTTTTCAATTGTTGTGTATATTCTTCAACATTATTATAAAATGCTAATGCAATTGATAATAATAAATTTCTTTGATCTAAAATTGATGCAAATTCTTTCCATGAACAATCTAATTGTCCGGTTATTTGTTGTATTAGCTGTACTGATGTATGACCATTTTCAATCATATTACTTGCAACATGTTGTAATTTGGTTATATTAACATAAACATTAACGGATGCATTTGCAAATTCACCATGTTTTTCTTGCAATTCTTTTATATCCGATAATGTTGTACCAATAATAATAAAACTACGCATAAATATTTCTTTATTATTACGTAACCAGTCTAGCATTTTATTTGCATCCGATTCATACAATAATAATTGTAAATGTTGTTCATATTTTATACGTTTTTGATTCCAAAGCCGTAAAAGATTTTGTCTACAATGATGAATTTCATTTACAATTTGAAATATTCTTGAAATAGCTGTTTCAATATCTGGATTAAAATATTTATTATTAATCCATTCACGATTATATGATAATGATTTCATCATAATCATTGTTGAATTTTTCAGATGTATCATATTTGTATCATGCATAAAATAACTTAATTTTGCTAATAATTGTTGTACTTCAAGATCAACATCTTCAACAGGTATTTCCGATATTTTTTTCTTCATCATTTTATGTTCATCAATAATATTATTAATTATTTGACTATCATTTGAAAATGTTATCTTTTTCAATTCTTCTTTCATACCAAGCATTATACAATAAACTTTTGCAATACGTTCCATAAATTGTTCAATAACAATACGTGATTGTATCCAATTAATATGATCATATGGATAGCTACCATTTTCAATATCATTTGTTAATTGATTTAATTGTATATATTTTGCCAATGATTCGACCGATATAAGTACGGTTTCAAATTTATATTTTGTCGTACCTAATGATGTACGTTGTTTTTGCCAAAAATTATCCGGTTTTATAATATATGTTGTATGAATTTTTATTGGGAAATTTTCATCCAATACTTTCAGTATTGGTTTGACTGTTGACCATGTTGAACCACGCATATCGATTATAACACAAAATTCTAATGCTTTTGATTCATCACTAAATGTTTGGAGATTGGAAAAAAAAGAGAAAAATGAATGATTTTTATTAGTGGTTCGTCAGGTTAATCGATCAATAATGATCACCATCATGGTTAAAAAAAATTAATATTTACCTAGGTATCGATGCAAAATAATTGAGTATTATTTTCAAATTTTCAATATTAAATTTTTCCATTGATGGTTGACGTGATGGAAAAAATATAATAGGTCCACCACGTATATCTCGGCCACCTTTGATGATGATAATGATCATTTTAGGTCAATGATTTGTTGTTCAACAAATTTGAATGAATAAGAAAAAAAATGTTAAGTGAAAATTGAACAATCGAAAAAAAATGAAAATCAATAATAACCGACAACAACTTACCGGAAAGGATAGCATAACGTTCTTCCAATAATGATTTTATATCATAAGCTTTTATTGTTTGTTTACGGAAAGATTCTTTTTGGATTGAATTGAAAAAATTAATGGAAAAAATATTAATGCAAACCATTAACGTTCGATCGAACACCAAAACAAAAAACATTCGAAACTTACCTAAAATATTACGACATTCATATGAATCATTCGAATCGATTGGACAATCTAGATTCCAATTTTCCATTGTTTTTTCGTTTTTTTCGAAATCAATTTTCAAAAGAATTTGAAGAAAATTTGTTTTGGACTAAACACACACACTGAATAGAACAATTTGATGATAATTGAAAGCGAAACAAACAAAAACAACACAAAATGAGCAAGATAGAAATGGTTGAGTATTACATCATCGTTCGAACCAAGAAGAAGAATGAATGTTAATGAAGAATTTTTTTTTTCGGTTTTTTTTTTGGTTGTTGAAATCAATCAATCGAAACCCTATCTATTTACACACACAAATACGATTACAACACAGGTAAGGATGATTCATAATTCTTTTTTCAAAAAATTAAGTTTTTTGTTTCGTTTCACCTTACTAATTAATTACAGGGTGAGATTTGAATTTTATCATTTTTGTTTTCTGAAATTTTTTCTTTCTTTCAAAAAAATGTTTGTTTTTCAAACAAAACAAAAAAGAAATTGTAAACACATAACTGGATCGTTTCAATCAAATAAACAAACCAAAAACTTCTCACCATCAACATGATGATGATGACTTCAGCTGAACTCTCTCTCGAACTGTCTCTTTTCCAAGATAGAATATATACCCGGCCCCTTTACGTAACATATAATATTGGAGAAAAAAAACTATAGAAAAGGTTTGTAGTCACAATTGAAGCGGTAAACAATTTTTTTTTTATTCGTCATCAATTAATTTTCATACTACTACCTTGGATGAGCAATTCCGTATATTTTTCAATAATCTATGCTTCTATGATGGAACGTTTTTTATTTTTGGTATAAAACAGAAAAAACGTTATGTCTATTGTGACCGAAATGGTTGCGAATATTTTTTTTTGTTTGTTTTTCATTCGTTCGAATGTTCACCGCATGTGAGCCTCTCCCAGGTTTTTTCGATTCCATTTCGATTCTATTTTTGGAAAATTTTTTGATCAAACCGAAACAAATCAATCAATCAATCATGTTCACCGATATTATTCAACGATTATCTTCAACAACAACAACATTATTATTACCATCAACAAGATCAATTCATTTATCAATAATAACATATGCATCACCATTACGTAAGAAAAAAATTGTAAATCCATTAACAACTCGAAAACAATTTGAACGTAAAGTACGACGTTTGGAACGTGAAATTAATCGTCTAGAATCAATACCATTAAAATTAAAACCAATTTTGGAACAACAATTACCACCAAATGTTGTACGTGAATTAAATGAACGTAAACGTACAATAACGAATGATGAACGTAATCAATTGGATAAAATGCATGTATATTTGAATAAAATTTTATCAATTTATCGTGGTATTGAAACTCGTGAAGAAATGCGTCTAATTAAACTAGCGGCTGATTCACAACAAAAAGCCTTAAACATTTTACAACGTGATTATCCTGAACTTTATACGGAAGCAATTCAAATTGATCAAAATTTAATACCATATCAGATTAATAATGTTAAAAAACAAACAGCACCAAATCCATCATCATATAAATGTCCAGATGGCCGACAACAAGATATAACAAAAGAATGGCGTCTTTAGATTAGTTTATTTATCAATGTTATTTCAATGTAAGAATTTATTTCAAATCAATTCGGTGGTTGTTGTTGTTGTTGTTGTAAATTTTGTAATAAACGACGAAGTTTTATTGCACGATGTTTCAGCGTTGATTCTTCTTCAATCAACATTGCAATACGATCTTGATATTCTTCTAATTTTGTTGGTTCCATTATCCAACGTAAATACATTCCTTTCCATAATTCTAATGATTGTGGTGCAACCGATGGCCATAATATTGAACTATTTGGTTCATATAATGGATTTAGATAATCTTTTAAAATTTCTGGTCGATTTATATATGACCAAAGTGAACAGGTTTTTTTAGCAAAATTCATTTCCATACGTTCACGTTGACAATCACCCAAAAATGTACCGAATTGTGATGAATATGAATTTTCAAATAACAAAATTAAAAATTTTTCATTAAATTCAAATGAACAAGGAAATTGTTGATAAATTTGATAAACACAATCCAAAAATGCTAGGAATATTGGTGATTGTTCACGTGTTCGTGCACTTGGTATTGTATATGCACTATGTTTACAACGTGTAGCGAATGGATGACCAGCTTGTAACCATTCACGTTCAATTAATGCTTCAAAACCATAAATATTACGACAATCAGGATTCAGGATGATTTGTGTTAATGAACAAACTTGAAGAGTAGAATCCATTCCTTCTGAACCATGTACCAATACGGAAACATTATCCTGATCTAAACATTGTGCAACTAAACAAGCACTACTTAGAACATCTTTTATATGTGATAACCAGCCTGAAGTTTCTAAACGTGAAAGCCATTTATCCATTGATAATGTTTGATCCATACAAGATTCAATCAGTTTACCCAATGAATCTAAAAGGGTTGAATGACGATCAATATTACGATTAACACGTGTCCATAATGGATAATGCATTTCCAGTTCGAAACCACCACCTTTATTACGTGCTAATTGTGATAGATTTTTTGTCCGAGTTTCAATTATAAAACCACGTTTACCAACACCCAAAACAGTATTAATAAGTTTTTCATCATCTTTACAACGTTTTGAACTTGTACCAACCATTGGTTGTCCACTACGTAGTAATACTTTCTATTCGGGGGGGGGGAAAATTTTGTTTTTTGAGTAAAAAAAACGTTCAAAATTTCAAAACTTACTTTAGTTGGTCGATGATAATAACTTAGTACTGGAAATCTTCCTAAACAACGAAATTGTGCAATCGATCGAAGACAATCATCCGAAATTGTTTTTGGTACGATAACTGTTTCAGGATATGTACGACAAATTTCAAAATTTTTATTCACTGTTGATAGGCGCCATTCATCACTATGATGTGTAAGATTGGCAAATTCATTTTCAATTTTAAATTGTTCCCAACCATTTTCAACAAATTGAAATTCAGGATTATAAAAATATGGATAAAATAATCGAGGTTCATTTAGATTGGATAACAATTCGATCGATGTTGCAATATTTAGAAATTCAATCCAACCATTAATTTCGATTGTTAAAATACGAAAATTTTTACATTTCAATACTAATATACCACCAGTTTGTATGGAATTTGGTCGTCGTTCAACAACATCAATCATTGAATGTAAAAGCTATTTGATCACCAAAAAATTTAAATCGAGAAAACAAAACAATAAAAAATCATACTTACAACCAATTCATTGAATTCCATTGTTTTCCTTGATGATATTATCAAATGATGACTAGTTATACATAATGTTCCTTCAATTTTATTCTGCAATGTATCACACATAATAACACCATCTAATTTTGGTGTTTTGATTAGATCAAAAAATTCCATCTTTTTTTTAGTTTTTCTTTAGGGAGTTTTTGGTCAACAACAAGAATTGTCAAAAAAAAAGAACAGATCGAAAAAACACACACTATTTTGACATAAGCGAATTAACCCAAATGGTTCCAGCATTCGAACCAAAAAAATCTGGTTTTTCTTCAAAAATTTTTCAATTTTATTTGATTTTATTTTTTTAATTTTACAAAAATTCTGAATCAATCAATCAGAATTGATAATCTAAGAGAATCATTATTTTAAATTGGAAAAAATGATACAATAATAAAGACATCGATGTAGAGCAACATTAACATTTTTTGTTTTGGATTTTATGCTGAAGCAGCAACAATAGCTTCGCTTACTTCAACAGCAATTTGTGCTTCAACACGTGCTACTTCATCCGATGCTGATGATAATTGTTGTTGGGCTTTATTCAATGTTTCACGTGCTGCTTGCATATCTAAATTTTCAACTGGTACAGCTTCTTCGGCCAATACCTGAACAGATGAATCTTCATTGATTGTAACCGTACCGCTGCTTACTGTATCAGGGGAAAAAAACATCAATTTAAGGATCACTGTTAGAATAAAATCAATCAATGTTATTTACCAAAAAAACGTTTAGCTGTACCATCATTTTCGAATACGGTAACAACACCTGGTTTCAATACAGCCAACAATGGTACATGTTTTGGTAATATACCGATACTACCGCTAAATGATGGAACATCAACTTGTCGTACATCTACACCACCATAAAATACCTAGAAAAAATAATTTCGTTCATTGATTGAGTATAAAAACCAATTTTTTTTTCAATTCAAACAAACCTCATATGGTGATGAAAATGTTAATGGCATACCGGTTGAAGAAGCATCGGCAAAATTTCTTTTGGAAATCAAACGAAATGTTTGTCTTGCTAGTATTGAACTTTGACGAATTAAATAATTCATTTTTCGTTTATTTTGAAAAAAAACTAGAAAAATTTTTGAAAAAAAAACAGAAAAACCAAAACACCCGAAATGAAATGAAATGAATGACGAGAAGAGTGAGAAAAATGTCCTTTCGAACAGAAATAAGACAATCAACTATTTCTACTATGATAAGGTCCAAATGGTTGGAAATAGTAATCGAATAATTCGCGAAATATACTCATCGAATGTTTACGCCCGCTTTGAATTCAGCATCCCAAGCAAGCAAGAAAAAAAAAAAAAAAAAAAAAAATGAAAGGAAGCACTCGGGGAAAAAATTTTTTAAAAG